TGTGCATTGGAAAAGAAAGTATACTTGGCTGCTGTTGGGTGCAGTGTTCGGTATATGTCTATACGATCAAGTTGGTTGATTGTAGCATTTAGCTCTTCCATGTCTTTGTTGAGCTTCTTTCTGGATGTTCTGTCCTTCACCGAAAGTGGCATGTTGAAGTCTCCTATTATTCTTGTGGAGCTGTCTATCACTCTTTTCAGTGCTGTTACAATTTTATGTATTTTGGAGCCCTTTCATTGGGTGTGTAAATATTTATTATAGTTATATCTTCCTGGTGTATTGACCTTAATCATTATATAGTGTGCTTCCTTATCCTTTGTGGTGGATTTTACTTTAACACCTATTTTGTCAGAGATTAATAATGCCACTCCTGCTCTTTTTTGAGTGTTGTTTGCTTAATATATTTTTTCCCACCCTTTGAGTTTTAGTTTGTTTGTGTCTTTAAGTCTAAGGTACATCTCTTGTAGGCAGCATATAGATGGATCATGTTTTTTTAACCAATCTGCCACTCTGTGTCTCTTTATTGGTGCATTAAGTCCACTTACATTCTGTGTAATTATTGATAGGTATGAGTTTAGTGCTGTCATCCTGATGTCTCTTTCTGTGTGTCGTTCACAATTAATTTTTTTCCCTTAATTTTCTGTGCTGAGTCATTTTTCTTTACGTTTTTTTTCATTGTAGTTGATTTTGTGTTTGCTGAGTCTTTATATTTTTCTACTTTTTTATTTTGATTTGTGGGATTGTTAGATTCCTTTGTGGTTACCTTTATATTTACCCCTATTTTTTCTAAGTTTATACCAGTCTTTTACTTCTTTATATTGCCTTGACTTCCCTTCCATATGAAATATCAATGTTTGCATTTTTAAAGTCCCTCTTTTTTGTTTTAATGTTGTCCTTTTTTACATATTGATATCTCTGTTTCCCTATTTTCAATGTTTTAGCTTTGATGTATTTTTGACTTCCCTATCTGAGTCAATATCTGGTTGCTCTGTCCTGTGTTCTAGTTTTGCGTTGTTATCTGATGTTATCGATTATCTAACCGGAGGACTCCCTTTAGTATTTCTTGTAATTTTGTTGGTTTGGTTTTTGCAAATTCCCTAAACTTCTGTTTGTCTGGAAATGCTCTAATTTCACCATCATATTTGAGAGACAGTTTTGCTGGATATATAATTCTTGGCTGGTAGTTTTTTTTTTTCTTCAAGGCTCTATATATGTTGTCCCATTGCCTTCTTGCCTGCATGGTTTCTGCTGAGTAATCCGAGCTTATTCTAATTGACTCTGCTTTCTGGATGACTTTTCTTTTATCCTTAGCTGCTCTTAGAATTCTCTGTTTATCTTTGGCTTTGGTAAATTTGATCATAATATGTCTTGGTGGCTTTCTTTTGGGATCTACCTTATATGGGGTTCGATGAGCATCTTGGATAGATATCTTCTCACCTTTCATGATATCAGGGAAGTTTTCTGTCAACAAATCTTCACAAATTTTCTCTGTATTTTCTGTTATCCTCCCCTGTTCTGGTACTCCAATCACTCATAGGTTATTTCTCTTGATAGAGTCCCACATAACTCTTAGAGTTTCTTCATTCTTTTTAATTCTTTTATCTGATTTTTTCTCATATAAGTTGGTGTCAAGTACTTTATCTTAAATGTCACCAATTCTAATTTCTATTGCCTCAATTCTTCTCCTATGAGTTTCTATTGAGTTGTCTAATTCTGCAATTTTATTGTTAATCTTCTGGATTTCTGATTGCTGTCTCTCTATGGATTCTTGCAGCCTATTAAATTTGTCATTATGTTCTTGAATAACTTTTTTAAGTTCAAGTACTACTTTGTCTCTGTGTTCTTTGGTCATTTTTGCATTTTGTCAAATTTCCTTTCTAAATTCTAGAAGAGTTCTGTATATTAATCTTTTGTATTCTGCCTCTGGTAATTCCGAGAACTTCTCTTCCTCCAGAGAATTTATTGATTCTTTATTTTGGGAGCTTGCTGAAGCCATCATGGACTGCCTCTTTATGTGATTTGATATTGATGGTTGTCTCCGAGCCATCAGTAAGTTATTATAATTTTATTTTATATTTGTTTAGTGTGTCCTAGCTTCTTGTTTTGTTTTGCTTTGTTTTGATATGCCCAAATAGGCTGCTCGTGTGCGCTAGTTTGATTATTGGCACTTTTGAAGCTCTAACGTCCTGTCACCAGGTAGTTAGTTCTATAACTAAGAATGTGCACACAGGAGTCTGTTAAATTTTCCTATATGGGTTCAGCTCAGGTGTCCAGGCATTGGTCACCAAGTGTGTGGTGCAGGCTCTCACCTACAATCTTAGAGATGCATGGGTGATTGGTGTAGGCACAGGTATTTGGCTGCAGTAGGGGGTCATGTGCTGAGCAGGAAGGGGGTTGATGGCTGCCCCTGAGTGTCTGAAAGGAAAGTGTGTCCCTATTCCCTAGAGTGAGTAGGTAGGTGAGTTTTACAGCCGGATTATGAGCATCCTACTCTGTTGGCTGTAAAGACTTGGGGGTACCATTTATTCTTGGACCCTTGCAGCAGGTGACTAGGTAGCATAGGTGGAACCACCAGTCCTCAAGCCCCTGGGGCAGGTTGGTAATGGTGCCTGCTCAAAGGGCAGTGCTGTGTCAAGGGGCACAAATCTGACACTTCACAGCTGAAACAGGTGAAGTTAGATTTCAGGTGTTTACCCTGTTGTACTGTGCTAGTGAGGGCTTACGCTGTTCAGATGGGTCCACACAAGTCTATACAGGGTGCAAGTCACTCAAACTCTGCAGAACCCCTTATGCTTGTGCCTAGCAAAGGAGCTGTGCTAATCCTGAGTTCCTTGCTTAGGGGAGCCAGTAGCTTATTTGTTCCCTCTCCAAGGCCAGGAGAATGGGTCAAGGCACCTTTTGGGATTTACTTCCAGCCCAGGGGACTCAGAGAGTTTGGAAGGCCAGACAAGTGCAGAGCAGGGAGGGAGGAGGTAAAAGGAGAGAGGTTCTTCCAAAATGGGCTTTTCTTTTTTAATCCCTGTGAAAGGCCGCACCCATATACTTATCTTTAGCCACATGGGAGCTGCTTTTCACTGGTTCGGAATGTCCAACCAGAATCTCTGCTGCCAGATCTCTCTCGATGTGGAAACTGCCGCCCAAGAGCACGTGGAGCTGTTTGCCTGCTTCACTGCATACCTCGGTCCCAGTCAGAGCTGAAGAGCTGAGGCTCCAGGCAAGTCTGGTCTGGTACTTCTCCCTTCTTCAGAAACCTCTCCCCTGCCACTCAGTCTGATTCCACAACTTCGCCTTGTTCAGGCCCGTAGATATTCATATATCCTCAAATCACTTCTTTTTCCAGGTCTTTGTTGTAAGAGGGGTATATGAAGCCGTCTGAATACTCCATCATCTTGGCCAAGCCTCTCCCTGACACCTTTCTAACCACGGTCAGTGACCAAGAAGGTTGCATTTGTAAGCAGATCTGCGCAGCTACCTTTTCCTTAAAGGGAGAAACAGGTATCAGACTACTCATTCACTCCTTCAATTCCAAAACTCATGGGAAAACAGCTCTGCAGAACCTAAGGGTCTAGCAGAAGTTGACACACACTTTATATTAGAGGAAGTTACAGGTGTTGCTTCTAGAGCCCCTAGCGATTGCCGTTCCATAAATATTTTAGAAAAACACATTTGTCTACTTGTGCATTTCTCCCAATTCAACATGAAATGTCACATTGGGACCCAGGGTTTTGAAAATTCCTCAAGTGGAACTTGTTCCAAGTTCCTGTGAATTCTCAATATTCACCGTGAATATCACCGCCACTTAATAAACCAGTCGTGGTCAAGAAGAAAACCCAGGGACATGTCTCAGCTTCTTCTGAAACTCCAAATGCCTTTAAGCTACAATTTCTATTATCCAAGTGTAGTAGGGGATCAGGTGAAACCGCATTGAAATACTCAACTTGATGCCTTAGAATGGCAAATTTCTGGGCGGCAGGTCTTTCTAAATCACAAAAAAGAGAGGAAAAGAGTTAAAGAAAGAGCCTGACAATAATCAGTCAGATGTTTTTGATCACTTGTGGAGGTGACAGGCATCCAAATAGGGGTCCACTATAACCAAGATAAATAAGGTTGGGTAAAAGAAGGTTTCCTCTGGGCCTAAGCATAATCCTACTGAGCATGATTTTTTATGTCATAATCTGTATTCAAGAAAAGTTTAGGTCTCATCATTGACCCGAGCCATGCCACTCTCCAGGTATAAATCCCCTGAGACCTCAAGAGGCTTACAACCAGTCTTCCTGCCAGCCCGAAAAGATACCGGATGACTGTTCACATATTGTCTTCCAGTTTTCAGTGGGGTTGGATTGACCCCAATGAAAGCAGGACAACAGAGATCGACCTCACCAAAAAATATTTTGCAAGGACAAAGCAGTAAGAGATAGATCAACGAGGAGAAGTTCATTTTCTAATGGCTATGGTCTTTCCCACATATTCCCAAAGCTATGTATAAACTCGAGACACACACATGCAAACAAGTAGAGACACTGCTGACCTTTGACAGAAAGCAAGAAGAATGCAATGTAAGGAGGAAACCAAGAGGTCTCTGGTCACATTCTCATGGGGTCCCATGCAAGAAGATACTTTTCGATTGTTTAGCCCTGGCTAATCCATTGAAGAAAGCCATGACCATATCCACACGCATTGTCAATGGCTGCATGGATGTTCCCAGGACAAGACACCCAAGTTTCCTGCAAATCTGCGGATCTACAAGTCCACTGGCAGGACATTCGTCAAATCTATTCCTTTCCAACAACTGTGCCAACACTTTTTCTAGAAACTTCCATAGTCCCATTACTGTTGGATGTCACACTTCACCCATGGACAGACCCAATCCACCTCATACCGGGAAAATCACAACAGAGGGAACCCATCTACCCCTGTTTTCACACCATCAGTGGAACCCTAGGGATACAACACAGAGCACCAGTCTTATGACAGTTCTACAGGCTTCCAATGAATTGTCAAGAACAATCATCTTTCCACACGTAGAAGGCAGCAGTTATGCCTAAATTCCCTTTAAGGAGAGTAAGGTCATCATGACTTTCTGTGGTTTGCATCTGAAAGCAGTCAAGACCCTGACACCTTTCTTAACCATGGGCATCCACCTTGAAGGTCGCTTTTGGATACAGATCTGCGCAGCTACCTTTTCTTTAAAGGGAGAAGCAGCTATCAGACTACTCATTCGTTCACTCAATCCAAAATTCATGAGAAAACCACCCAGTGGAACCTAAGGGTCCAGCGGAATATGACACAGACTTTAAATTAGAGGAAGTTACCAGGGTCTCAGGTAGAGCCCCTAGAGATAGCCATTCCTTAAATATTTTAGAAAAACACATTTGTCTACTTGTGCATTTCTCCTAGTTCAACATGACATGTCACATTGGGACCCAGGGTCTTGAAAATTCCTCAAGTGGAAATTGTTCCAAGTTCCTGGGAATTCTCAGTACTTACCATGAATATCACTGCCACTTAGTCAACCAGTTGTGGTTAATAAGAAAACCAGGGGACACGTCTCAGCTTATTCTGAAACCCCAAATGCGTTTGGGCCACAATTTCTGTTGTCCAAGTGCAGTAGGGATCAGGTGATTCCACGTGAAATCACCCACCTTGATGCCTTGGAATGGCGAATTTCTGGGCAGCAGGTCTTTCTGAATCACACAAAAGAGGAAAAAGGCAAGTAATGAGCCTGACAGTCATCTGTCCATTAGATGTTTTAATCGCTTGTGGAGGTTAGAATCATCCAAATTGGGGTCCAGTTTAACCAAGATAAATAAGATTGAGCAAAAGGAGGTTTTTTCTGTGCCTCAGCATAATTCTATTGGGCATGATTTTTATGTCATTATCTGTCTTCAAGCCAACTTTTGGTGTCATCATTGACCCAAGCCATGTCACTCCCCAGGTATAAATCCCCTGAGACCTCAATAGGCTTACCACTGATGTCTTCCTGTCCCTGGAATCACACCTATGAGTGTCCACACATCGTCTTTCAGTTTCCAATGGGGTTCGACTGACCCCTAGAAAAGTAGGACAACAGAGATCAACCTCACCAGAAACCGTTTTGAAGTGACAAAGAATTAAGACAGAGATCAACGAGGAGAAGTTCATTTTTTTATGGCTATGGTCTTTCGCACATATTTCCAAAGCTATGGAGAAAATCGAGACACCCACATGCAACCCAGTAGGGAAACCGCTGACCCTTGACAGAAAGCAAGAAGCGTGAGAAGTAAGGAGGAGCCCTAGAGGTCTCCGGTCACACAAACAGTTCTCAGGGGGTTTTGCACAAGAAGAGGCTTTTCGATGTTTTAGTCCTGGCTGATCTATTGAAGAAAGCCATGTCCATATCCACAGGAATTGTCCAGTGCATGGACTTTCCCAGGAAATGACATCTAATTTTTCTGCAAAACTCGGGATCTACCAGTCTGTTACTGCAATAATGCGGATTGTAGCCACCTGACACAATAGCGAATTCTGAGACAGAGGTGAGATGAACAGCAAGATGTTCATTATATATCAATCTATAGGAGATGGAGGGGAATAGATTCCTCCAAAAAACCCATCTCTCCCACTGGAGATCAGCTGAAGTCTTTTATAGGTACAGGACTATGGATCTTTTGTGGTAGTTTCTCCTTGAGGTGATGATGTCTTAGATGAGTTAACCTTCTATGGGTATTCTTAGAGGTTATCTGGTAGCATCCTTGGGGATTATCTGGCGACATCCTGCTTTTTCTTGTCACGAGATGGGTGCTGTTTACTTTTTCTTTCTTAGATCATTATCACTTGTTTTCCACCCTCCAGGGAGGAACATCAGTTAATCTTAAACCTTTTTGTAGAGACTGGAGAAACAAGATCATGAGATAATATGGCGGTTAGCAATGGGGAGTAAATAATAGTGAGTCAGTTCTGTGCAGCCTCTTCCAAGCCCCCCTTCTACTGGAAGTTTCTCAATCTTGGGAAACAGGGCATCGCTTCTTTTCTCACTACTTCCTGCTGGTTAGGGGTTTCACTAGGGTGAGAAACCTCTCGACATCAACTAGGGGCTATAGGCGGGGGGTGAGTTAGAGTGGAAATCGGCTGCATCCGGGTGAATTAGATGATGTGCATCCTCAGAGTCTGGAAAAGGGGCGTCTCGACTTACCAGGGTAAAAATTTCTCCCACCTTAAGGGTTTCTGTAGTTCTTCCTGCCAATATTTTCATAAAACAGGAAACATAAAAATATACTAGAATAATCACTATTCTTAAGGTTCCTTTTTCAGGCTCTTTTATGGCCCATTTAACAGGACCTACTGGAGTTAGGGTTGAGACTACACATGGGAGGGTCAGAGTGTCTCCGGCTTGCAGGGTCAATGTCCCCTTTGCTTGTAGGATCACCAGCACCTTTTCTGTCTAGGTCTCCTGGAAAAACAGAAAGATAGAGGGAAACAAGGTCAAAATCATTGCACTGTATGCTTCTTGAACTTGTACTTCCGGCCCTGAATTGGAGTACAAGAGTACGGTGACTCTTTGTTTTCTGCTTCTTTCTCTTCTTCTGGTAGGGTTGCTTTTACTCTAGAATGATGCACCCAAGCAGCTACTCTTGCTAATTTCAGAGAGTGGGTGGTCAGGAGAACTTCAAAAGGTCTCTCCCACTGAGGGTCCAGTTAATCTTCTGGGGGTTGATTCTTCCAGGCCTTTAACAGGACCCAATCTCTGATCTCTGGGTTGGAACCTGTGGAGGGGAATGTCAGAAGGAAAAGACAAACAAGAAGACGCATACTGATTAAAAATGTTTATGACACCTCTCAGAGAATGGACCCAGTCTCTTTTCTCTACCTCGGTCATCACCGAGGTGGGGAAAGTTGACTTTTTCAGGAATGGTCTCTCACGTATCCGGGCTACCCAGATTCTGAGTGAGGCAATGGGGAGAACTTGTATCTAAGTGGAGCTCGTCTCCTGGCAAAGTTTCACCAAGGACTTTTTCAGAGTATGGTTCATCTTTTTGATCTCTCCAGTCGATTGTGGTCTCTAATAAGGTTTTAGATATAAATTGGAAATTACACTCAGCTTAACTTCTTGGGTGACTGTTGTTGTAAAATCTCTCCTGTTGCCACTCTGTACTGAGATTGGAGGATCAAAACAGGGTATGATTTTTTTGAGTAATACCTTGGTCACTTCTTGGGCTCATTCCGTTCGACAAAGGAAAGCCTCTACCCACCCTGAGTAGCTGTCCACAAAAATCAGCAGATATTTAAAATTTCTAGGTGTCCAGAGCATTATACCACTGCCACCTGAAGGGGATCATTGATTGCCTTCAGGAGTTCTAGGATTTCTGGTACATGCTTTATTTCTTTGTTGGCAGATTCAGAAGTTCTCTTTTTTTCTACAAGGCACCATATGAGTAAAGGACTAGATGGGCATATTTATTATCATTATACACAGTTATGCATCTTCTTATTCCTAGTCGCAGGGCCTGCCTGAGGACTATGAGTTCAGCCTCTTGAGCTGAAATGCCGGCAGGAAATGGAGTTGCCTCTAAGGCCTCAGTTCGTGTTACCACTGCATATCCTGCCTTGTGACATCCTTCATATAGAAAGCTACTGCCATCCGTATACAATTCTATTTCTGGGTCAATCAAAGGGACATCTGAGAGATCTGGTCTGTTAGAATAAACTTCTTCAATTATCTCTAGGCAGTCATGTATGGGGACGTCTTCTGAAATAGGCAGCAATGTGGTGGGATTGAGGGAGAAGACAGTCTTCAGAACCATATTTGAGTTGTCTAACAAGATTGCCTGACATTTTCCCATCCGTCTTGCCGTGAGCCAAAAAGACTCCACTTTTATTCCAAAAAACGCAAAACTGTATGTGGTGTGTTTACTGTTACCTTTTGTCCAAGGGTGAATTTCTTGGCTTCCTGTAACAAGTCACATGTTGCAGCCACAGCTGGAAGACTAGGGGGCCATCTCTAGGCCGTGTTGTCTGGCTGATGAAGTCGGACTCTTACTCCCAGATTCCCTTCTTTCATCTGTTTCTCTCAAGCTGGCCGGACTAGAATCAGGCTCAGCCCTTTCTGTGGGGAATTCTGCCGTCATTCTTTGACCTGACCTGTCTGCTTCTACTGCATCTTCCCTATATGGGGGGGGGGGGGGGGGGGAGGGGGGGGGAGGAGGGGGGGGCGGGGGGAGCCGAAGCAGTTATTGGGACTATACCTTCTAAGAGGAGACCCTCTGGTGAGGATTCACGAAGCACTTTTGCCTTCAGCTCTTCCTGAAAAAGAACCTGGTTAGAGGGATTTAAAGTTTGATAGACATGAAAGCTTGAATATAGGGAACCTTGTCTCATTTTCTTTACAAAACAAGTCAAGCTGAAAAATCGTGCCAGAAGCCAAAGACCCATTTTGGAGACAATGTTTCCGGTCCCCCAGCTGGTATTGGGGCCATACATTGTTGCATAAGCATATCATTCTCTTTCTTGTCATAGGCTCATAGCTATACCTCTTCCAGTTTGTTAGAATGCAGCCTAGAGGAGATTTGGCTGGGATAGATGGACCTCCCCGCCATAATAGGTGTTTGTTTATGCATAAGCAGCATCAGTAACTGCTTTTTATGTGCCTCAACAGCAACTACATTTTGCAAAACATCAGACTGAGTATTAATATAAATATAGCAGCATTTATCTATTTAGGCACAAACTGTTTCTTGAGAGACTAACAGGAAAGGCTAACACTATTCTATTTTGTAAAATCATAGCTCAAATTTCAGACACTTCTCTGGTTATGATAGTCACAACTTTGCTAAGTTTACCAACAGAATTTCTAATTCAAGAGTTACAATATCTAAACCCATTAGTTAGATACTTTAGGAGAAAGGAAAATGATTCTTATTTCCAGAAAATAGGACTTTAAAACATCAGCAATATTCCCATATAAAACCTATAGTTTCCTTTCGTTTACTCAGTCTTACGTAATTTCTGATCCACGTGATTCTGGATCAGCTGCAGTCTATGAACCCATCAGCTTCTGCATAGGAGTTCTGGAAAGTTCATTCAGTTTAGTCACAATCCTTTTAGCAAGTCTAACATAATCCATCTTTCTGTTGAGATATTTTGGTCAGCAAATCAGCAAAGTAAAAACTTATCTGCAGATGACAAAACTTAATATGGCCATGATTAATTTATAAAAATAATACTCTTAATAGTGAAAGACTTGCTAGAAGTTAATTACAAGTGCAACGTAAAGGCCAAATAAAACCAGTTAAAAAAAACTTTAGATAAAAATATTTCTAAATATAACCACTAACCATATTCAAAGAGCTTCAGATGTAATACATAATAATTTTGAGACAAAATACAATATAATCAGGATATACCAAGAATATACCAAGATTATCAAATCTCTAAATACCTGAATTGTAATAAAAAAAAAACACTTCATAGGTAAATGATGTGAATTCCCCAATCAAACCATTGGCTTTGATGGTGCTAGATTCAAAAACATAAAGTTGTAACCAAGTTAGCAATGAAGGAATAATAATATCATAGGTCATTGTGAAACAATATGTAAGTTATTTACCCAAAGACCTTAACGTAAAAACCTTAGCTTTCTTTTCTAAAAGCCATGAGCCTTAGTATTCAAACTCAGGAATCTTAATTCTAATGAGACGCCAAACCTTCTTCTTCCAGGCAGATCACACAAAGAATAAATTAACCCTTTAACTCAGAAATTAAAGAAAATTGTTATTTTAACATCAAGAAACCCAATTCTTTGTTTTATATGCTACTTAACATTAAAACTATTACAAATCTTATAAATTAAACCAGTAAACTTTAGTCAGATAAAACTTGACCATATCAAATAAATTTCTTTTTCAATAAACCTCTTAAATGTTGTCTTTGTTGCATTTCTT